TCCCGGTCACCTGGAAAGGGATGGAGATGGGGAGTGAGGCGGCCATGGCCAGCTGCTGCAGCAGGGATACGTGCGGATAGGGACAGGGGTACAATGCCTGTGGTCACCCCATCCCTTTGGGATCAAGCAGCGGCCCTGGCTGGGCAGGGGAGATCAGGTTGGGATGAAGCCAACCAGCTCTCAGCTGGCTGGGGGGGCACTCCCACCCAGCTTCCCTGCTCACCTTTAAAGAAGACGAACCTCCCATCATGTCTCTCGTAGGCAGCATCGATGTCCCCAGGGAGGCCCCGCCAGAAGTGCCCAATGGGCATGGGGTAGTTGTCCAGCACCCGGTTGTGCCGGACCCTCCAAAACCACCGTCCCTGGTGGGAAACGGGGGGTTGGCAGAGGTCGAGGGGGACACATTCCCAGTGCCAGGCATCCCTCTGGGGGGTCCCCCCCCCCAGGGACCCACCACATCCCCAGGGAAGGGGCAGCAGGGGGTCCCAGCACGTACCTTGAACACAAACATCTCCCCACGCAGCACCGCCACTGTGTCAAAGTTCCCGTCGCAGATGTTGGGGCCATACTGGTCAGGTCGGTCTGGGCCACCAGGTTTGGGTGGTCGCTCCGGTTTCCCTGGGTGGGGGGATGGTTTAGGAGGTCTCTGGTCTGGCCTGCCAGGTCTCCGGGGTGTCACGGTGGGCAAAGGTCTGGTGGGTTGAGGGTGCCTGTCTGCGGTACCTGGATCAGGCGGGCGAGAGAAGGGATGGGGTGATGCAGACCAACAGTGCCCATGCCTCAGTTTCCCCACGCATGTGCCCAGTGTCCCACCTCTGGGCTTATCCCCCAGCCAGCTGCTCACCGTACAGCTGCTGGATGCCCTTGAGGTCATCCTCAGGCAGCTGGAAGTTCTCAGTGTCCATCCACTGGTAGAAGGGGGCCATGATAGCGCTGGGGTTGCTGGAGTGCTCCAAGCCCAGCGAGTGCCCCAGCTCGTGCACGGCCACCAAGAAAAGGTTGTTCCCTGCAGGGAGAGGTGCCATCAGCAAGACGGGGTGGAGGACACAACGCGTGGTGTGGGTCCTTGGCCCCAGCACCCTGTGATAAGGGTGCTCTGGTGGGACCTGCCTGCATCACCCATCTCCCTGCCACCTCTGCCCACATGAGCGCATTCCTCTGTCCTCAAACTCAAGGGCTCACCAGGCTCCTCTGCTTGCCTCCACCGCCTCCTTGGCCCTCAACTCACCAGACACATCTGTGTTCTCCAGCGTCCAGGGCTCGTCCGAGTCAAAATGCGTGTCCCCCCCCATGCCAGGACCAGGAAAATAGGCGTGAGCCAAAAATCCCCCGACGCCATCAAAAGGGGAGCTGTCTCCGTGGAAGCCAGAGGCGAAGAGCACCATGATGTCAGCCTCCTTCTTCCGCTTCTGCCGGATATCCTCGTAGGGCACCTCCCGGAAAGCCAGCGGCGTGGCTTGCTCCCACACCCGGAAAGCTCGGCGGACAGCCTCGTACGAGTGGTACCGACCCAGCTTCTCTGTGTAGTTTTGGATGCTGGGGGTAGAAAGCTTGCTGGGGATGGCCCAGGATAGCACTCGCTCCCTGAGGGGGTCCATTGGCTCGCCATGGACTGAGGAGGTGGGGGTGGGTGGGAAGCCCTGGAGATGGAGGATACCTGAAGGTGAGATGGCTCTGGCTCCAGCGCCGCCCCGTCAATGCGTACCGCTTCCGCCGCATGTTGGACTTCATCCGTGCCCCAAACTGGTCCGGCACCCCACAGCGGGGACGTTTCATCCACCTGCCAAAAGGGCACAGAGCCAGGGCTCAGCCCACCACCACCAAGGTCCCTGAGGGGTGACAGCAGCTGTGGCCAGCAAGGTAGGTGTCCTGGCTGCAGGGGTGCAACCCCCCAAAAGGGGGGATGCAGCTCCCGTGGGAGACAGCACCCGCAATTTCCAGGTACAGGCAGAGCTCTGGGGCAGAGCAAGAGGACATGGAGCAACTCACGCCTTGGTCTCCTCGTCCAGGACGCCAGTGACGGTGATGCCGTAAAACTTCTGCATCTCAGCCAGGGCAGAGGAGAAGGTCTGAGCAGAGTGCATGGTGGACATCTGCCGGCTGGGCTGGGGCAGGGAGGCGCA